TTTTGTCAAGTTTACGAAGAACGTTTACTGCTCTTAGAACTATTTCTCTTTCACTTTACGCGTCCAGCATAGGACAGGGTCTTATATAACCGTAATGTACCTGCCCCGCGCTGAACAATGTGCTCATTTGTCACAGCTACGTCACCCTGACTAATCGCTCAACTGCCATGGCAACCGCAGGTGTGGCTACGCTCTTCCTTTCGGCGCCATTTGCGTTCACCATACTGCCCTATCTGCCACAAAATGGTGAAGCAGTAATGCCTGCGGTGCAATTATGTAGCTGGCTGTTCTTCCGCAACGAAGGTACTTTTGCGCAAGAACTATGTGGTCCACAACTTGGAAACTGCATTGTTGAAAAATAATGGGTGTGGCTGACTTACCCGACCCCATCGCGAGTACCAGCTAAAAGTCCAGCTAGACATCTTGTCGATGTTGTGTCGCTGCCTGAGACATCTGTGAGGGCTTACACCCCTGAGTGTTGCCCATGTTTTTGCTAGGTGTATACTCAGCCTTTTAGTATCAACCGTTTTACTTCCCACAGGACTTGGTGCTTGCACTTGGATTAAGTTCTTCAGCCGAAAAATAACGGACACTAGTACTGACTAATTCACAATGCTCGCAACACGCGTTGTAGCTGAAAGCCCGGACACGCGTTTTGTTTATTTGTGTCGCTGCATAACGCTGCTGGCAATCGGTTGTTCAACGTACTTAGTGTTGATGATGAAAGCGGGCATACTTTCCAGCCGCGATTATTTGAACCTCACCTAGACGGTCTTTGTTCTCGAGGTCTTGCCTAAAGATTTTAGGTGATTTCCTACCCAATAACAATAATCTTCAGTCGAGGTAGTAATGCGTCATAGATTTTTGGACCGTATCTGTTAAGGTTTTCTATAGAGATTATTTGATCCGAATCGCGCTTTATAATCGAAACGTTGGAAGCACTCACCTATCGAAAATAGTGTCGTGGCTCTGGGACTCGTATAAAGGACAGATTTGACCAGCGCAGTCTTAGCAAGTGCCAAAATCACTTGTATTTCTATTTTGCCGAGCATCCCTAAGGCGCCAAAGAATTTAGAAGGATAATTGCAAGGATTTCGTCAATTTCTATTGGGTTACTGTCTCTACATTTCTGACAAAAAAGTACAATTGTGTAGCTGCAGCCTTTAGACAAACTCCATGACCTGTTCCGGGAAAATCGTCCTTAGACCACCTATAAATCACTCGTACAGAATTTTTAGCTTTTAATTGACAACTCGCGTTAACGGATTTAGATTACACATCGACCCCTTGTAATCGAAAATGATGTGCTCTGAGGGTTAGAACAGTCGTGGCCTAACCTTTGTTTTCGCAAGCAAAATCCTTCGGCTAGCTTGGCGAGCGGCATCTCCCTTCGGTCAGGCCTTTAAAGGAACAATTTTCACTCTAGTCATCCCAATACCTTGTTCACAAATTCAAAGTCATACCTCTCCAGCCTAGATTTTGCTGGACTCAGTGCGTGCTAACTGTGACGCCGCAGCGTACTACTTTTTCAAACACTCTACACATAGATAGCTCGTTGAGTGGGTTCTTTGTCTTCGCCCGCTACGGGCGCTCACTGCATGTATGCATGTATGTATGTCATAATCTTAACTAGTTCCAGAAATTCAGCTGCCGTCTCCTCGGTTGCTTTTGAGCTCTTGATAAGACCATAACGAGTCTCCTGGCTGCCCTGTCCAAACACGACCGTCTGATTGACCAGAAAATCTATTGGTATATCGAAGTCGCCTGTGCATCTGTTCTCTACCCTCCACGGCCGTGTATCCCTGGTCTTATTTATCCCCAACATGCCGTATATTGAGTGGACTTCAGGATTTCCTTGACTGGCTCTATTTCTTTGATGACCATTGCTGAGCCACTTAGGTCATAATTTTCTCTGTATTCCTAACAGATCTACAACTATGAGACTATGTCCTGTCTGGACACTGTGGCGGTTGGTTGGCGCAGTGGCGGTGGTCTTGTTGACATGGCCGTCGCAAGTAGCTACAACCAGCTGGTTGGTGCCAGCATCTCCCAGTCCCTAGTCTCCACCTTTGTGGTTGATGTGAAATCCTGTGTACCCTTCATCTCTCCCCTGCGGTCTGCCTTCTCCTCCGCACCCCTATCCTCCTCCCCGCCGGGCATTTGCGATTTCCCCACTCCGTCAGCCGCGAACGAGGTTGTTTCTCCACTGCCGACTTTGCTTTGCCATCTGGCTATTCCTTGTTCTTTTTCATGTCTATGTGTAAGATTCTCTGGACCGAGGCAGTGCTTTTAATGCTTTTACGGTAGCACCAAATGCTTCGGCGCAGAAAACAGTCATTCCACACGGATCCCGCAAAGCGCGAAGTGCCACGAAGAAATGCTGCGTGTAGAATAATAGAAAAGATAAGAGCAACCGCTGCTCCTCCACCAACACTGATGAAAATTGTATGCGCGAAGCTTGATTCAGACGTGGAAGGGGAAGCAACTGTGTTATGGTTGGATGTTTTACGTCAAATTGGCGGCTTATTCCCTGTTCATTTCCAGTAACCGGATCGATGCTGAGGTCGAATGATATTGCACCCGCAAACTACCGGCGCTTACGATTTGTGGTAGTGGCGGCGGCGGTGGTTGTGTTGTAAGAACGAGCTGTAGTGCGCATCGAGCTATCCTAAATGCATGCGTAATAAGGGGCGTCCTCTTTTTGTTGCTGTCGTCGACCTCAATTTTCTGTCATTGCATCGGCGATAATTCATGAATCGAAGTTAAGGTCAAGATCAATAAAAATGCCTACTCAAATTGAAGTATCGAATTTTGTAGAAAATAGATGTCGCAGCCAATTTTATCTCTAAATGAAATAGTATCC